TCCAACAGCTGTTGAAACAAGTTAAAAATATAAACATATATATAACAAAGTTAGCAAGATGCTGGCAAGGCAAATCACAACAAGATTCACAAGCAGAACAAAGTCCTATATCTAAATTAACAATGCTGTGCTAGGGATCAATTAATATTAATCATGTCGAACATAAAAATAATACAATATAAGACATATACTAGCCATAAATACATATTAAAAACTTTCTCACAAGAATATATAAAGAATCAATACAAACACTGATAAAACAATAAATAATTGTAGATTATAATGATAAAATTATTAAAATAAATAGAAATCATGCCCACTATATACACAAATCAAAGTATATGCTTGTCTACAGATTCAATTAAAGAACTGTTCAAATCAATTGCATATGCTATTTGTAAGAATCAAGATCACCCCTTGAGTTCCATTCATAGTATTCATTTAGGGAATAAAATGAGCCAATAAGAAGAAACCTTTTTAAAGCTTGTTTGAATTTAAAAATATTATTTGACAAATTCCTAATGCTTCGTGGTAAATTATTGAATATCCTAATCCCTGAATAATATACACCCTTCTGCAGCTTAGCAGATTTATTAGTTAGAAAATGTAAATGTGTAACTTCTCTGGTGTTAATGCTATGTATGGCCGAATTAAATTTGTATATGTCGATGTTCTTGGCCACAAATATTAATAGAAGAAATATATATTGCAAATATAAGGGCAGAATATTTAATTGCCTAAACAATGGACGACAGGAGTCCTTATTCCTTGCCTTCATAATAATTCTCACTATTCTTTTTTGTATTTTAAAAATCAAATTAAACACAACACAAGATCTTGCATTATTACTGGGTACAGCAGAGTAAACTGTTCCCCCTGTGTTAATTAAGCCCCTTGTTTGACCCTTGTGTAACCAAGGTTCCCGAATAAATGCTATAGCTGCCTTACCCTCAGCTAGACTTATAAGTTAATAAGTGCTTTATGCCCTGATTTTCCACACATTTTATGTTTAACAGAACACCATATGAATTCTTTAGAAAGGAACAATACTACTATATGTATTTTTGTGCATGACTCTATAAATTATTCAGATATTAATTTGGATAGATTTTGTATAGACCAAATTATTGAAATATGTGCTGTTAAACTCCAGTCAGCTGGGCAAAATATTTGTATAGTAGCTGTCTATAGAGTGCCATGTGGGAATTTTTTTACAATTTTTAAATAGTCTAGATAGAGTTTTAAATACTATTTATAGCTCTGGTGTTGAATTCATTGTATGTGGTGATATAAATATAAACTACCTACAGGATAGCCCTAGGAAAAGACAGCTTAATTCATTGTTATTGTCTTTTAAATTTTTCCCATAATTGATTTCCCAACTAGAAATCAGAATAATTCTGTTTAATTAATTGATAATATATTTATTGACTGTTCTCAATTTGGAAGGTATTCGGTCTTTCCTGTTAATACTGGTCTATCTGGTCATGAGACACAACTCCTTATTATTAGAAATATCTACTTGCAAATTCATAAACATAAAAATTCAAGCATTTCAACTATAAGAGTTTTTGATGATCAATCTTTGCTTAATTTTAAAATTAAATTAAGCTATGAAATGTGAGATGATGTATTTAGTGGCAATGATGTTGATACCATTTCATCTCCTTTTTAAATGCATATTTGAGAATTTTTCATTCTAGTTTTCCATTAAAAAAATAATTACTAGTTTTAAGATAAAAGTCAATAATTGGATAACACCAGGTATAAAAATTTCTTGTCGACGTAAGCAGGAACTCTACTTGTTGTATAGGAATAATAATGATGTAAATTTTAAAAATTATTACAAATTATGTCGCAAAACTTTATCTAGTGTTATTAACATGGCTAAAAGAATTCATTATGATAGATTAATTGTTAATTCAGAGAATAAAATGAAAACTACTTGGAATATTGTTAAATCTGTAATAGGTAAAAGGTCAAGAAATAAATCATTTGAGTCAGTTTATATAAATGGTACTTTAACTGATAATCAAAAGCTTATAGCTGATTCCTTTCAAAACTACTTTCTATTAACAGCAGACAAAATAATTTTAATATTAATAACAATGAGGAATTAGAAGATAATAATTGTATTGATTATCTATACAGAGTTTTCAGTAACCCCTTTCCAAATATAGTATTCGATAATATGACTAGGGAAATTAAAAAAAATATATATATTAAATCCAAAAATTCATTTGGATATGATGAAATTTCAGTAAAAATCCTTAAAATGAGTTCTCCATTTATCATCACTCCTTTGAATTATATTTGTTATAGGTCAGTTTTATCTGGTTCATTCCCTACACGATTAAAATATTCTGTGGTTAAGCCATTATTTAAAAAAGGTGACAATAAAGATATAAAAAATTATAGGCCTATATCATTACTAACTTCCTTTTCTAAAATTTTTGGAAATATGATAT